AAACAATGTATGCTAAACTATTAAGTAAAAATACAAATTGCCAAAATGTAGATAAAAATGGGAATTTTGATAGGAAAAAAACTTACTTGTGTAAGTATGCATACAAAGAAGTTGAAAAGGAGATACACAAAATTAAAAGTGTAGGTTGTAAGGTTAATGATTACTGATGTCTTTTCTTTTTATTCATCAGTAATTTCTTCTCTAAAAAAAAACAATAAACATAGATATATGTTGTTATTAGCTGCCCTCGAGTCGGCCCCCAGCTCAACACTCTGTATTACAGAGTAGAATTGCTCCATTGGGTTTTCTTGGCTGTCATCTTCACAGAAGCTGATCTGTAGGCATTTTCTTCCACAGAGCCGCTGGGTGGGTTCAAACCGCCAACCTTTTGGTTAGTAGCTGATTGCAAACCGCCTGTGGTACTCAGGATTCTTGGGGATGTTTGTATAATCATAAAAAATGGCCAAAAAATAAAGAAAGCAAATTGCAGTTTCCAGCTTCCTGCAGTTTGTGCCTGAGGCACTCACTATCTCTCTTGCATCATCTCTCCCGCTTCACGCATTGATCTTCATTATTTCGTTCTTGTTGTTTTGGCTCCAAATCCCCTTCCTCTGTGTGCTCCCAAATCCACCCTCCAGCACACATACTAGGTCGTGGGGGTGTAGCTGGCTGGGTGCTGAGGAGCACAGAGGCAGGAATTCTGAGATAAGAGTGTGAGGTAACAAGACACAGCTGACACCAGCCAGCCCAGGGCAAAGAGAATAATGGAGAACGATGGGGCAATTGCTTGAACACAGCACTCCTTGGCTACTGGAGTGTGGAGTGGAAGGGGTGAGTTGGCCATGGTCAGAGGCCAGGGATGGATCAGACAGTTTGACCTCGTGATATCACTGCTCTCTGACTCCTTTCCCAATGAACTTGATACGGAGCCGAAAGCTCAGATAAGCAGCCCTGGTGGCACAGCAGTTAAGTGCTGGGCTGCTAACTAAAAGGTTAGCTGTTCAAATTCACCTGCCACACCACAGGAGAAAAGACCTAGCGATCTGCTCCCACAAAGACCCATAGGGCAGTTCTGCTCTGTCCTATAGGGTCGCTATGATTTGGAATTGACCAGACAGTACACAACAACAATGCTCAGATCAGAAATGTCCTTGTAAGGACGTGTGGTCAGTGTGACTTCCAGTGGAGCTATCCCTCTCAACAGAACTAGGCTGTATCACCCCAGGTCCCTTCCCCACTTGCTGCTGGGTGGGAAATCCTACCCTCACATGAGGCTGTGTTTCTCAAACTCTTGAGTCCACATAACCCCAGGGCTATGTACAGACATAAGACAGAAGAAATTGCATTTTAAGAGGAAAAAAGAAATTTTTCTGAGAATTAATGAATTCATATTTGTACAGCAATTAAAACACATAGATTCTATTTGAAGATTTGGGATGACTCATTCAGGTTTTAGAATTCCAGTACTACAGCAAACACAAATATAACATGGAGTAAAATGCAAAAACTAGATGAACTTAATATTTTAAGGCTCTAGGGACATGTTGTACTTCCCCTGGGAGAGATGTGCTTCAGATTATGCCCCTGGACCCTGCTGGCATCCACTTCTGCTAAGAAGCACTGGCTAAACAGATCATCAAAGTGTCTTATTTCCACGTGCCTGGAGGGGATCGGTTACTTCTAGGTCAGTTACATCCCAGGTGCATAAATTACTGAGTCTTCCCTGAGCAGGTTTTGATAGTGGTGGGGGACATAAGTCATCTTCCATAATTTTCTAAGATGTTTTTGTCTCCATTTTACCAAATTAACCTGCTCAATGAAGTTGAAATTACTTGCCCAGAGTAGCAAGTGGTGTAGTCAGAATTCCAACTATAAATTAACCCGTGCAGATCATAGTTAAGCCAAGTCACCTTTAAGAAACAAAGGGGTTCCCAAGTCAAAATGGTGGGATGGAGGCAAAGTGAAGAAACACGCTGTTGTTGTTGTTAGGTGCCTTCAAAACATTGCCCGGTCCTGTGCCATCCTCAGAGTCGTTGCCGTTGCCATGTTTGAGCCCATCGTTGCAGCCATCTCATTGGAGGTCTTCCTCTTTTTCATTGACCCTCCTCTTTACCAAACATGATGTCCTTCTCCAGGGATTGGCCCCTTCTGACAACATGTTCAAAGCAAGCCAGATGAAGTCTTGCCATCCTTGCTTCTAAGGAGCATTCTAGCTGTCCTTCCTCCAAGACTGATTTGTTGATTGGTCATTTCTTGGGGCGGTAGTAGAAGGAATTTTCACATTCTACTTAATATGTATTTCTGTAATATTTGGGTTATTATAACCAATATGTTTTCTTAACAGTGGTTGCCAACATCAATAGAGTATTCTTTAGACACTAACACTAAATAACTTCCCTTGCTATGATTTCAATCTCACCCAGTTACCTTCTGATAATTTGGCTTCCTCCTGAGCTGGCTCGCAGAGAGAGGAGACACTGGCTCATTTATCACTGTGTTGCTTACCTGATTGTCTACTTCTCAGTACAGATGAATGCAGCTTGACAAACATTATTCTCCTCCTGCCCCCGCAACCCATCCTAGGGTCTAGTAAACAGAAAGGGGCATTATACAATGCAACTAAAGTAGGCAAAAGACAGTCTTAGCATAGTAACACACAGGAGTTAGGTCACTCTTGGCCATGTAAAAAGTCTGAGTGTCTTGTTGATGCTTGATTCTGTGTTAGAGAGGTGGTAAAGTGCTCTTCTCTTCATGCATTGCTGTTATTCAGGAGTCTTTTACACGCAAGGGACAGAAATGTCAATCAAACTGGTTTAAGAATAAAAATGGGAGGAGGTGAATTTTATAGATTCATATAACTGAAAAATCCAAAGATAGAGCTCTCCTGAGGCAAGCTTCAGGTAAGGCTGGATTCAGGGGCTCAATCAATGTCATCAGGTCTTTCTCTGACTCTTTTCTTTGTCTTTCTATTGTGCTTAGATCTTACTCTGAGGCAAGTCCTCTCCACACTGTGGCCGTGGAAGCTCCAGATTTCCATCCTCTAGCAGAAAGAGGAACTTCTCAATAGTCCCAACAGAAGTCCCAAAATTGAATCTCATTGTTTCATCTTAGATCACATGCTGATGCCTAAATGACTCACTGCAGCCAGAGGGATGGAATACACTGACTGGTCTGGCCTGAATTGTATCACCTTCCCCTTTCCACAGAGCTGGGGTGAGAAATCGACCCAACCAGAACCACATAGAATGACAGTGGGGAATGGTGGTTGCCCAAAAGGAAAACAAGGCACTGTTACCCAAAGAGTGGGAAACGGATGTTGGGTATGAGAACAAAGCAGATGCTCAGTGCTAGAGCTGAAGACCCTTTCAGCTTGGTCTGGGAGAAAACAGGATGGAAAGAAACAACAGGTTATTGAGCTGAAGGCTGAGGAGAAGAAGAAATGGGATGGGATTGGATGGGATGGTAGGGGGACTGGATTTCAGAGACAGAAGGGCTCCTGCAAAAGCGTGAAGCAAGAGTTACCCTACAGGGGAGACAGCTTCTGTCAGGCTGGGGACCCAAGACACAGAGTGTGCCTGCAGTGCCTGTCCCCTGGGGTGGTGGGAAGAGCTGAATAAGAACAGCAGACTCTGTATGGACCTCAACAGGTGACGTGAGCAGCAAAGGACCGTGGAGCATGTTCTTCTGGATTCAGTGTGACCTAAGTGAGACCTTTTTGAGGAAGTGGATTGTGCCTTCCCACCCTTCTGACGTTAAGGGCAAAGTAGCGGGTCATGTTTTCTTAACTGCCATGCAGCTTATATCTGTCCATCCCTTGTAAGTCCCGTCAGCTTGAGTCAGCTGCCCAGAGGCCATCTGCCTCTGCATGAATTGCCGAGACCGAGTTCCTGGACCGAACCAAGAGGCTGGGCACCAGACCTTGGACGGGGATAGATTCCACCAGATCTGTCTCCATGGGAGGCCCCTTGGCGGTCAGCCAGCAGGCCTGCGCCAACCACACCCTAGTCTCACTTCCAAGCCTCAGCTGTGCCTTCCTTCCTTGCAGGGCTGGGCCAGGATTCTGGGAGTTCGAGGATGAGGACCCTGGGCATGGGGCTTGGTTCAGAGCGGGCTGCGTAAATGGCTGCTATTCTTATTGGATATGAAGCATGCCTTGCATACAACAAATGGTACCCATTATTAGTACATGAGGTGGGTACCCAGCACATCAAAGATACTCAAGAAGTGGTAGCTGTTCATATGATTATTGTGACTTTAAAGGGCCTGAACAAGTAGCAGGTACTAAATACCTGTGGGCTGTTTTGGTTTTTCTGTGTTTGGCTGGGCTTTCTCCTCCCTGTGCTCGGAATACTTTCCCCATCTCTTCTCTATTCTCCAAGAAACCACCTGCTTCCAAATGTGCTCAAAGCAAAACCAAACTTTTTTCCACCAGTCCTGATATCCAAAAAGTTTTCATCCAGAACGCTTCTGTGGCAGGATTTCTCAGGGTGGGGTCCCGCAGTCCACTTGCATCAGAATCATCCAAGTGTTTGTTAACTATGCAGATTCTCAGATCCCATCCAGTTCTGGGGAATTTCAGTGTCTGGGTCTGGGGCCTAGAAATCTGCGTTTTAAAAGGCTCTCCTGGTGGGGGGAGGGGTCCCGATGCATGTCAAAGCTCACAAGCCACACTCACCAACAGGAAAATCCTGATTCAACTGTAGGCCCTGCCCCTTTTGTCCCTTCTATCAGGTAATTCAAAGTCTCCCGGCCCACAAGTTACTGATTAACCCTAGGTTTCAAGAAAAGAAATAATAATAACCGAAGGGATAACGTAAAACAAGAAACAAGCTGAACAGTTCTGGGAGAGAGTGGTGGTGGTAGACAGCTGTTGGGGGCTTGAAACTTCCATCCAGGGCAGGGTCAGACTCCAGACAAGTCACAGCGGCACCAACTGAGGCTCCCCGTTGATATCAGCCCAGACCCTGTGCAGCATCATCCCCTCGGTTCCTGTGCCCAGAATGGCCTGCACCAAAGTTGCGGAGCAGCCAGCCCCACAGCAGTCCCAGCCCATCTCCTCAGAAGCCTCCACCTCCAACGTCAAGGACCCTGCTAGGTGTCACCGAGGCTCAGCGGGGGTTGACCTGGAGTGCCTGGTGTGCCGGGAGCCCTACAGCTGCACCCGGCCACCCAAGGTGCTGGGCTGCCAGCACACCTTCTGTGCCATCTGCCTGAAGCTCCTGCTGTGCGTGCAGGACAACACCTGGTCCATCACCTGCCCACTGTGCCGCAAGGTCACTGCCATCCCCGGAGGCCTCATCTGCAGCCTGCGCGACCAGAAGGCGATGAGGGGGCAACTGGTCCACCCTGTCCCCGAGGTGCATCTCTGTCCTCTGGGACTGGCAGATCCTGCCACCTTGGCAGCAGAGCACCCCAACTTGGTGGGAGAAGATGGGCAGGATGCAATAAGTACCAACCGCATCGCGGCCCGGCGCCTGGTGGCACACCTGTTCCTACTGATCCTGCTCATCATTCTCATCCTCCCCTTCGTCTACCCTGGCTTCATCAGGTGGGTGCTGACCTTCATCATTGGACTGGCCCTGTTGATGTCCACCCTCTTCTGTTGTTACTCTAGCAGCCAGGGCAGCTGCTGGCCCTGCTCCAGGATTCTTTCCTGTAGGGAGAGGAAACACAGCCAGATCTCTTCAATTGCCTGAGTGCGCTCCAGCCAGGCAACCCTAGAAGCTCCTTCAGCCACTTAGGCCCCTGTTACTGTACCAGTGACCAGGGTAAGGGGCTATGAACTAAGACTGGCTCCCTTGGGAGATTAATTGCCAGCTGGACTTGCAATCCAACGCCAGAGAGTGATTTTGGGTCAAGAACTCTGCGCTTGGAAGATAGGTCTTATGCCTGCCCTTGGCATAGCATCACTAAACTGGGGACAAGGAGGAGGCACAAATGACTTGACCACTATAAGGGGGGCTCTTGTTTTTTTATTCCAGTGTTTGTAGCTTTTCTTTATATAACTTGATAAAAGTATCGCAGTGTTGACCCTGTTGCAGAATAGAACCAGGACGCCCAGCCCCAACTTTTTTTTTTTTTTTTTGCAATTTATTTGGCTGGTTTCCTTTCCTTGGTTTGGTTTGGCTTGAGGTTTTTATGGTTGGGGCAGTTTGTTCACATTTCTAGATGTTACCCATTTTTCCTCCTAGGAAATTGGAGCCCACGTCCCTCCTCCTGTGCTTCCCAAATGATACTCACTTAGTGCCCATCCCAAGCCCATCAAAGGACCCAGTTGTTTAGGTTTCCCATTGAGTAAACCCAGGGTTTCAAGAACAGACCATGTGCAGAAAGAATGGGAATCCTGATGTTGTGGGGGACTCACACATTTAGTTGTCAGAGTTGGGGAGGCATGGAGAGGAAGCAGATGAGTCTGGGAATTGCTCCCAGCATCCCCACCAGGATCTCCCAGCTCCATGCCATGAAGTCTAGACTTAGTAGAGAATCTTGGGGTCTTAAAGACTGGCCCTGCCACAGCAGGTCCAGCTGCCCATCAATGTACAGTCCCACGCTACAGAACCGGATCTTAATGGGTGTTGCTTTCCTTTATTATTGCATCCCAATTCCCGTTTGCAATTTTGTTGTAAAGATAAGAAGCCCCATAAATGCAAAGGTTCTCACCAATAAACCCACATTTCCTGCTACACCTTGATAGTCATGGTCATCTGAAAGGCTTTTGTGTCTTCTCCTCAAAGCCATTTCTGCTCCTTAACACAGGGGAGTCTGTCCCTCTGCTGATTGCCAGGGTTAGGCCTCAGCCAGGGGAATGTGTGGTGGTACAGGGGAGCGGAGCTTGGCACATGACACATTAGCTCCTTCCAAAGATACCAAAATTGGGAAACAGACTTACAGCTTCAGAAGAGCTCATCAAGCACAGCCCATTGCCCTTCCCTTCCTCCCTCCCCATCCCATCCTTGCCCCCTGGTAGGATGATTGTTGCAAAAGGGACACTCAGTTCATGGTGACCGTGCCTTTGTCAGAGATGGACGGGAGTACTCTGGCACTGGCAGAGTGAGGGGTTAACCCTGGCTCAGTTGTTATTGTTGTTGAGCGAGGCTTTTTGCCTCTCTGAGCCTCAATTTCCCCAAATAAGCTGGTTGGACTAAATTATTCCTAAGACGTCTGAAGTCCCAGAAGCTGAGGGTACTGCTAGACCCCAAAACAACGGCAACAGTCACATCCCCTTTGAACTTACACAAAGAAAAATCAAAATATAAATATGTATACTGTTAACCGCTCTTAAAATCTGAATGCCTTCTTTTTTCTTATAAAGTACTTCCAGAGCAACTCTGCGGCTCCTATGCTATTGGCCTTATTAACTTACAGGTGCTGTATGTGTGTGGGGGTATGTGGGTACTTGTGCTTTTAAGCCAAGCCAAATGGACCTGAAGAACACCCTGTCTCCCCAGGATGACTAAAGGAAGAGAGTCATTCCATATTTCCTAAGCTGGCCTCGGGCATGTGCAGTAAAATAGAGAAAGAACATTCTCTCCTCACTCACTCCCCCACGTTCACTCTATCTAGTTCTTTGGACTCTTCACCAAGAAGAAAACCTCCACCAAGGTTTCAGTTGCTAATGTCAATATCATTTCTACCATAATAATGGCGGCCGTATATTTATTGACTGCTTACTATGTGCCAGGAGTCCCCGGGTGGTGCAAACAGTTAAAGCATTCAACTGCTAACTGAAAGGTTGGAGGTTCTGTTTCACCCAGAGGTGCCTCAGAAGACTGCCTGGTGATTTACTTTTGAAAATCAGCCATGGAAAACCCTTTGGAGCACAACAGTTCTACTCTGACACACATGGGGTGTCCATGAGCTGGAATCGATTCAACAGCAATTTGTTTACTATGTGCCAGGCGCTGCACTAAATGCTTTATATGTGTTATATTATTTAATCTTCATAAGGTGCTTTATATGTGTTATATTGTTGAATCTTCATAACAACCTATGAATTAGAGACTGTTAATATCCTGTCTTATAGATGAGGAGACTGAGGCTCAGAGAGGCGAATTCCCCTACCTAAGGTTGCACAGCCAGTCAATGCCAGAGCTCCATGGGGGATTAAACCAAGGTTCCTTCTGCCTTATCCTGCTGCCTCCTTTGCAGGAAGCTGGTGGTCGCCACTTGCAGTCTTGAGAAGGGTTTCATGGTGAGCAGTAAACTAGCTTCAGGAGCCTTCAAATTCCAGTGGTCAGGTACTCATAGAGGCCAGAGAATTCCAGAAGCTATTGTCTATACTAAAGAGAAAGAAAAGAGAGTGATGAAAATGGTATGGCTTTCCTATAGATTTTTTTTCTGCTTTTAAGCAATTTTTATGCTGTTGAAAGTGTACACAGCAAAACACACCAATTCAAGAATTTCTTCACAATTCAGTGAGATGGATTATATTTTTCATGTTGTGTAACCATTCTTACCCTCCTTTTCTGAATTGTTCCTCCTCCATTAACATTAACTTGCTTCCCTCTAAGCCTCTGTCTTAGTTATCTAGTGCTGCTATAACAGAAATACCACAAGTGGATGGCTTTAACAAAGAGAAATTCATTCTCTTACAATCTAGCAGTCTACAAGTCCAAATTCAGGGTGCAGGCTCCAGGGGAAGGCTTTCTCTCTCTGTTGGCTCTGGAGGAAGGTCCTTGTGATGCATCAGTCTTCTCTTGGTCTGGGAGCTTCTCCGCACAGGAACCCCAGGTCCAAAGGAAGTGTTCTGCTCCCGGCACTACTTTCTTGGTAGTATAAGGTCTCCTGGTCTCTCTGCTCGCCTCTCTCTTTCATATCTCAAAAGAGATTGGCTTAAGACACTGCCTAATCTTGTAGATCTCATTAATATAACTGCAGCTAATCCATCTTATTACATTATAGTGATAGAATTTACAACACATCGGGAAATCACATCAGATGACAAAAAGGTACACAATCATAGAATACTGGGAATCATGACCCAGCCAAGTTGACAGATAATTTTGGGGGGACACAATTCAATCCATAACAGCTTCCTATCTTATCTTTCAAATGGCTGTTGTCAATTTGATTCCAATTTCCTATAGATTTTACCACCTCCAGCCTCCCCTGCAGGGAGCTGTGCTGGCAGGAACATTGAGACGCAGATTTGAGGCCCACTCTGCCCCATCCTTGCTCTGCACCCTTAGGCAAGTCACTTAATCTCCCTGGACCTTATATTGGGAAAATAAAAGCCACAATAAGTACTCGCTTATTAAAGCCCCTGGCACATGGGAGGCCTCCAAATAATGCACACTTCATCCCTCTGGACAAAGGTGTTCTGACACTGCAGTCACAATTCCCTTTGGATACCAGCTGGTCCCAACCACCTGCTGGCCCCTGGCAGTGTGGGACAGAGAGCTCTGGAGGCCAGTCTCAGCCCAGGCTGCCCTGGAGGGGAGCAGAGGAAATAGGCAGTGCTGGGAGAGGATGTGAGTATAAGAAACCAGAAAGGGAGATGTGAGAGTCATGAACAATACAAGATAAATCCTGCTTGCACAGGACTCTGGGAGAGAACCAGAGTACCTAACTGGGTGGTGACCTGGGCCAGGAAAAAACACATCAAACACCTGACTTCATGGTAACATCAATCGAAACTCATTAACTAGTACAAAACAACCCCATTAATCATTGTTTAGGCTCCCCTGAACATAGGCCCTATATGCATGTAGGCCCTTCATGCCCTACATGTGGTATATAAACACTCAGTCCTCACTATTGTGCACAGACCTCTGCCTGGCTGATTCTTGGCACTTCGCTGTCCACCATGAGAATCTTGGCACAACCTGTGTTTGTTAACTTTCTTAATAAAGTTAGATCTGATTGACCTGGCTTTTACTACCTCTTGTTTTAGAATCCGACTTGTGCCCCTTGGAGCCACTCCTGGCACTGGTCCAGTGGGGTATAACAGGAGGCCAGGTTCAAAGCCAAGCTCTGACCCAGTGTGGGACCCAGGCAAGTTACAAAGCTTTTCTGAGCCTTAATCTGAGTTCTCTCACCTGTAAAATGGGGGAGGGTGCCATACACCTCCCAGGGGCTCCAGAAGGATCCAATGTGCTACCAGATGAGAATTCTGTGTCCTGGCTTATAAACTTTTTGCCTCCATCTCTGCCTTGATCATCAGTCATTTACCTGCTTGGGTGAAGGTTTCCTTGGGCCTGTCCAGTGTGATAGAGAGCAGGGCACAGGCCATGATGCTGGGGTGGAGAAGTCAGTTCAGAGTTGGGAGCTTTGTCCAGGACAGGCCAGTCTGGTGGAGGACTGTGCTTAGGTTGAGGTGGGTGGTCTGGGAAGGGAGGTCCTAAGGATGGAGAGGAATTTCAGGGGGAGGTCAAATTTCACCCCTATCAGACCCATCTCCCTATGCAGTGGCCTTGGAGTCAGACATACCTGGCTTGAATCCAGCTTTACCACTTACAAGTGAGTCTCAAGTTTCTTACCGGTGAAACGTGAAATTGTTCTCTATAGATGAGTAAATAAGCACAAATAAGTCCATGCTTACCTTGCTTATTGGATAATCTGTCCCTGATTCCCCCATTTGTTCACAGCTTCCTGATTCAGTAGGTGCCTGAGGCAGAGGGTTACCGTAATCCACCTGTCCCATCCCCCACAACCACTTCCTCACCTCACCTTACAGCCCCAATTCGTTGCTGGGGTC